GAAAGCTACAATTCTGCTGTTTCCGCTGATATGCGTGGCTTCTCGCTATGACGCATGGTCGCGGAGAAAATCCACAGAGAAGAACGGGTGTGAATTTGGACGCACTATGTGTCGTTCGGGCCCATAGTCTAAACTTCTCAGTTTCAACATTTTATTGAGAACATTTAGGAATAGTGCTGCACGTTAACTTTTGTCTGCACATTGTTTTTGTCGCCATTGTTGCTGAGTCTGAGGTGCGAGTCATGCGCTCTCGCTCCGCCTCCACCTCAGGTACCGAAATTTGGCACAGTTTCATTTTAAGTGAATCGGCACCAAGTACAAAAAGTACAGAGTTTCGGTACCCAACCCTACTGTTCAAGGCGGGAATATTGCGCTATTATGCCGCCACATTGTTTTGTACAAACGGTACACTCGTGGAATGAGGGAACAAAGTTGTCTCACCTTAAAGCCGGCATCAGAGGTAGTAACAACTCAAAAACGACCTCTGGGTGAAGGGTACAGCCGACAGGATGGTACCATAGACGGCACGGGTGCAGTGTTTTGACGGTGTGTTATGTGTGCGACCGACGACAGTGGATTTAAAAAGTAGCTGACAGCCATTAGCAGCTAACTCAAAGTAGAACAGCAGCTGAAAATGTCCACAAATTGGAAAAACAATGAGGTCCGGGAGCTCCTTGCCCTCTGAGAAAAGGACATGATCAGCTGCTATATAACAGAGACGACTGTTATTACCATGTTATGCTATCGTTATAGTTTATAAAGAGCTGTCGACACATGTTATGTGTCACACTAGAGGCCAACACTGTTGGGTTACATGTCACACCCCCATGCCTCATTTAATTCCGCGATGCCAGCATGCTGCTTAAAATCACACACTAGAGCAATATGTTACTGCTGTTGTTTGAATCTGTGTAAAACTGCGAAGGAGGTGTAAAGAAGTGACTTCGTAGCAGCTCTATAGCGCCATCTCTGTGTAGAAAGGGATATTAATGTACGCTACAGCTTCATTCAGACATGACGGCAACATTTACAGAATGAGCAGGCATGCTGTATGTAAAGCTTTTTGCTGGATATTCATTCATCCATGCAGGAAGTATGATTGGAAAGTGAGTAACAGTGTGCCCTGCTTAGATCATTACTGTGGTTCTTCTTGTCATATTCTTGGTACCGAGGCTAACGTTCATCATACGGTAAGAAGGTAATCAGTGCCAGTGGAGGAGCACGTGAGCAACAGAGTCTTCTCTTGTACCTTCTTTTGCTTTTCTGTTCAGTTGTGAAGCTCCTGTCCTCATCCTCCACCTCTCTCTTGCGGCTTTCCTTCAACACCTTGAGGACACTCTCTCTGGAGCAGGGGTCCACGGGGGCTCTGGGGAGCCCCGCACAACTCAGATGGTCGAAACTAAAAGCAAAAACAGGCGACAAGGAAGTTATGGTAAATATCAGCAGTCAAAGCTAGCAAAGCTAGGTGTTACGTGTCTTAACATATAAAATAGCAGCTTTCAGACATGATATGGAAACCAATAACATGTCCTAACATCTGAAACACAACAGCACACTGTGAAAATAGTATATAATAACGTAAATACATTAGCTTACTTCTAGATAGTGAGCAAAATCACAAACACACTGGTATGATGGCAGACTGAGAATGAATGTAGAGACCTGGGGGAGCTGTGGTGGTCGGGCCTGGCAATCTTCACAGTGACGGGGCTGAGGACAGCCGGTGAGTTACGAGGGCTGAGGATATTTTTCTTCCTGAAGCCATCCCACTTGACAGGAGGGAGGACTCCCACTGATGAGAAACCCGGCTGCTGCAGGGGGTAGTGACGCTGAGGAGTGATGGTGAACCTGCCCACTGTGCCAAGCGGCTCCCTGGGGGGGGGGGAACATGATGCAAGACATGTAACCTGCATCCAATACCAAATACACAACAAAGGTGTATTCATTTTTTATACAACACTAATCTAACTCATTCAGAGCCTCATTTGTGATTAAGTCACAAAGCCTTCTCTGTACAACCCTTTGAGGTAAAGTCCAGGCTCGATTTGTTTTACCTGTTATCCAGCAGCTGGTTGCATCTTCAAAGATATTTCTGTGATTCCACAGATGCCTACTGTCTGCCAGGAATGATAAAAATGTTTGGCTTGGCTGAAAACAGCATTTAAATTCAACATTTCCACACACAGCACTGTCCACTCTGCTCTTCTTCACTACACGCTCTATGCCAGGCCAGCATAACCTACGGAAATGTTGGACTCAAACGCTGGTTTTGCCCTGGGTAAACATTTTATCACTTTGGGCAGACAGTCGACATCTTCGAGACCACATGAAGTTCCTTTGAAACTACAATCTGCTGCTGGATAGACTTCCACAGAGGGTTTGAGAGGGGAATGCTGGAGGACCAAAAACAGAGAAACACAGAGAGGGCATTCTTACAATATGTTGAAATTGTTGGTTGTGCATGTTTATGTGACTCTGTGGCTTTTTTTCTTGACCAACAGCAGCCTAGAGGACTGTTATACGACAAAGCCACAGGACTTGACTAAAGGGTAAGTACCACACTGACTAGTTGGCAGACTAGGCACACTTACAATGGCAACTTTTGATCAAAGAGAACAAATTCAGTGGGTCTTGCTGGCAGTTGGAAACAGGAGATATATCACTGTCTAATGTTAAACATGATATAGATTTATGGATTATTATTAATATGGATTTATTTTTCAGTAATTGATATTTTATTACCTTGTCTACTTTCTGACAGTTTCTTTGTTCATATGATTCCATTTCCTAATTTTAGTTCCTCTTATTTTACATTTCTTCATGCTCGACATTGAATATCTGTTGCAGTCTTGATAGAGGATGGGACTACTACCTTATTTTTAGGGGGTTTTGATATTTGCTTTTCAATTAGGCTGAGAAAATATATTTTGAAAGACCACAGTCTTGACAGTTAAACCTTGTAATGGTCCAACATCCCAGTGATAACATTTCTTCCTGAATAGCATAGATGATGGACATCAAAGGTATGATCTGATAGAGTTGACAAAAAGCTATATATTTTTTCATTTCACAGCAGTTTTAGTGAGTAGCCATTTTACTGTTCAAAGTTGCTCAGACTTCACTTAATGCTAATTAGAATACTTATTTTTCTTTATTTAGTTTGGCTTTAGACGGGCTACATTGTAGCCCGTCTAAAGCCAACTCTGTAGTACAGAGTTGACCTGTTACAGTCGACATACAGTACAGGCCAAAAGTTTGGACACACCTTCTCATTCAATGCGTTTTCTTTATTTTCATGACTATTTACATTGTAGATTCTCACTGAAGGCATCAAAACTATGAATGAACACATGTGGAGTTATGTACTTAACAAAAAAAGGTGAAATAACTGAAAACATGTTTTATATTCTAGTTTCTTCAAAATAGCCACCCTTTGCTCTGATTACTGCTTTGCACACTCTTGGCATTCTCTCCATGAGCTTCAAGAGGTAGTCACCTGAAATGGTTT